TGAGAGAGTGGACAGAGAGCTGATGGACTGAAATGCTGCAAGCCTTCAGTTTAAAACCCAAAGTACAGTTTAAAACCCAAAGTAAAAAATAACACCAATCTTACAAAAACTCTTCTGAAAAATAAGAAAGAGAACACATCCTAGCTCTTCTGTGAGATAAGTTAACTTTGCTTTCAAAACCTGATTAGAATATTAAGAGAAGGGAAAATTATACAGCAATCTCTCTGCCATAAATGTAAATTTAAAAAACAACAAAATATAAGTAAAATGGATATACCAATATATAAAAATATATTAAGGTAAACAGAGGTTTACCCCAATTATCCAAGAATGATTTACATGTGAAAACCAATCAGCCTGTTCACTACATTAATAGAAAAAGAGAACAGGGTATGAGCATTTCAGTAGATGCACAAAAAACATTTGACTCCTGAAAATCACACACAGAAGTAACACACACTGCCTCTGCTCTTACTTCCCTGGCCAAAACGAGTTACCTGGCCAAGTCTAGCACCTGTGGGGGCAGGGACTGACCTTCTTCTGCAGAGGGCCCCAACCTGTGGAACATTATGACATCTGCCACAACATCTCATGCTCTACAGTGGGACAAAAATTCAACCCCACTCATGCCCTCTCAGCAAATTAGGAATAGGAAAAAATATCTTTCATCTGATAAAGATTATTTACATAATAAAAACATTTATAAAACATACTCAGTGAGGAATAAAAAAGTGTCCCCGGAGTTCTGGAATGAGGTGAGTTAACCGTTTTCACTTCCAGTCCATGTTGTGCCAGAGGCCTGTCAGGGCAATGGCGTGAGGTTCGCCCAACAGGCCTGAAGAACAATAAACCTCTAACATGACCGCAATGTGACGGGGCGCAAGATGAGACCATCACAGCAAAGGAACAGAAGAGAATCCAGAACCAGACAATGTATAATCCCCTGCTTAGGACACAGGAAGGGAGCGAGGTGGAAAGGAGAGGACTTCGGGGAGGTGGGAGGAGGACCAGCACAGGGGAGAGGGATGCAGGATTGTTCTAATGCAGGATTGGATCCTGTCTTTATGCAAAATGTTTTGATAGTTTATTCATCATAAAATGATTTTTTTTCCAGTTTTTGGCCAGGGCTGGGTTTGAACCCACCACCTCCAATGGGGCTGGAGCCCTACTCCTTTGAGCCAAAGGCACCATCTCATCATAAAATGATTTTTTATGAATTTTGATTTTTAAAATATTGTTTCTTTTGATATCACAAAGTGTGTTTTGGTGCTCCATAGCAGTGTCTCACTCTTGTCACCCTCGTGGGCTCTGATATATTCATCAGCTTAATTGTAGTGATGGTATCCAGAGCTTACCGCGTGTGGTGTGTTAAATGCATCATATCATACACGTTAAACACGTACAGTGTAGTGCCTGTCGATTATAGCTCATTACAGCTATTTTCAAAAAAGTAAACCTATAAGAAAAACGGACCACAAGCTTGGTGGATGGGTCGTCTCTGTTCAAGGTGTGGCCTCTGAGCCTCACCAACAGATGCCAAGACAATTCCCAAATACAGCACCCCTGCCATGGGGACCTCAGACTCAGGCCACACTTACCTTCTCCTCCGCTCCTTTCTTAGCTCCCCTGAGGTGGGTGGGAGATGCAGAGGCTGCGGCTGCACCCTCCTCCTCACTGCAAGCCCAGAGGCTGGGACCCCCGCTGGCTAGCTGCGCAGATTGGTGCCCAACCGCCCATTTTCCGGGGTGGACAAGCACTAGACCATGATCTGTCTTCAGAGGATGCTGGCCTTCTAGCCCACTAACAGGTCAGGGTTAGTACCCCCATGTAAGGGTTAACAACTATATTAACAGCACATTCAAGAAAAAGTGCATCTTAGAAGGAGGTGCCTAAGGACCTTGCTGATTAAGAGAAACGATATAAAAGACCAGAGGCGGTTTAACACAGAGGTGCCTAACAACTTTGCTGATTAAGAGAAATGATACAAAAGACCAGAGGCGGTTTAACCAGCGCACACATTCCAAAGAAATTTACTCATATCACTCTCCACCTCCTTCCTACTTCATCCTCACAATACTAGCCTATCACAAACCAGGACTACATCTAAACGTACCCCTCGTTCCCCCACTAACTGAACCTATATAAACCCCTACCTATTACAATAAACAGCTTCAGCTCAGTCCCTTTCCCAGTGTGTCTGTCTTTGTCTTATTTGTCTTTCAAATGCTGACTCCCCAACCCACTGCCACCCGCCGGTCGGGAGGCGGCACCCCCACACCTTGGACATCAGCCTGAGTTAGAGCGAGACCTCTTTTCTAAAAACTAGAAAAAACTAGCAGGGTATTGTGGCTGGCTCCTGTAGTCCCAGTCACTTGGAAGGCTGAGGCAGGAAGGTCACTTGACCTCAGGAGTTTGAGGTTGCTGTGAGCTAGGCCGACGCACCACACCCTAGCCTGGGTGACAGAGTGAAATTGTCTTTAAAACAAACAAACTGCAGTGTCTGCCAAACATTCTGGCTGGAGCACTTTGAACTTTCCCTCCAGGAAACCAGGGTGAGACCTGAGGTCCTGACAATTCCTAGACATGGAGCAAGGTCACCCCAGAAGCAGCTGTTACTGTGGGGAAGGGAACTGGGAGCTAAGGACTCCTCCAGTTACAGGGCAATCTCCAGGAAACACTGTCCTTTGTTATCTTTGGGGGAATGAGGTCAAGAATAATTCCTTACATTTTTATTATGGGTCTGCGCAGTGGCTCATATCTGTAGCCCACCACTTTGAAAGACCCTATAGAGAGGATTGCTTGAGCACGGAGTTTGAGGTCACAAGAGAGCTAGGATGACACCACTGCACTCAGGCCTGAGCAACAGAGGAAGACCCTGCCTGTCTTTAAAAAAGTAATGATTATGAAATGCTTCAAACTTATAAAAAGTATGCCACCACCCAGGTATCCATTCCCCACCTTAGAAAAAGAAAACGACTACAATGAAGAGTCCTGTGTACTCCTCCCCACCCTCACAGCCTTCCCTCTCATCCACCCTTTTCCCCTGCCATCCCTCACCAACCCGCCTTGCAGCCCTTCTCCCTGGAAGGTTCTAGGCAGAAGATGGAGTCTCAGTTCTGCCACATACCCAGGCCAGATTTAAAGACTTCGCGGTTGGTCTCTGCTTCGTGATTGTGTTTCCTGTCCTTACCAGGACTGAGAGCGGTCAGCGCTTCTGTGTGTGTGTGTGTGTGTTTATGTGTGTGTGTGTTTCCTTCCTTTTACAAAAACAAGTCAGCCTTTAGACTTCCTGTCTGCACTCTCTGCAAAGTGTCAGCCCTCTGAGGGATTCTGTATGATTCTGTGCAGGCCGTCCCTCATTCAGCTATAAGTTAGTGAGGGCGCAACATGTTTTCAAGGAAAAATAGTACAGCTTATCATTTTACCCTGATTATATAAATGGAATAACTCTGGGAGTGCATATAATTTGCCGGGTTTTCTGAGGTTATCAAAACCCAGTGGGATAATAGCAGTCATTTCCATTACAACCAACTTAGTAGGAGGGCAGGAGGGCAGCAGTAGGTCTGAACTAGTAGCTGGGTGCAATACTTACTTTGGAAGTTGCAAAGCCATCCAAATGTCTTGCAAATGCCTTCTCTCCATCTCTATTTCACACCATAGGAAATCAGGGAGAAGATATGTATACAGTTTGTACACTGTGCATCTATGAAACAATTGCATTTTTTGACAAATAACACTAAAATCCACTACATATTCCTTAAAAGTCTTAGTGAAGACAGGATTCTTTTTTTTCTTCAATAAGTGGATTAAAAGTCTTTATTTCTTTATTTTATTTTTTTATTTCTTATAGCATAACTATGTACATTAATGCAATCATGGGGTACAGTGTGCTGTTTTCATATACATTTTGAAATACTCTCATCAAACTGGTTAACATATCCTTCATGAAAAAAAAAAAAACATATCCTTCATGGTGAGGACAGGATTCTTACATTCTTTAGTTACTGCTAATTTCTGGCCTGACGTTAATATGAAAATCTTGCTTCTTTATCAGCACTGTCACTGTACTTTTGAAGTCAGGTTTCCCTCTTTTTCAGCTCAAAATGTTTGGAGTGCTCCGGCTTGTGTGAGAAAGGTGGAATGTTTTTTAAACTTTATGATTTATTTTTACATTGATTTTCCTGTTTATTTTATTCTATCTCCCTGTAATACTTACATTTCGCCCAAGATTTTATTTCTTATTTATAGTGCTTTCAAGTAGAAAGACATAAGATTCAGAGTTTTGAAGATGAAATTCTTTAATGCATTTAAGGTATGTGTACAAGTCTCACAGACTCCTGTCTAGGGGATTAACACTGAATTTCGATTATCTCCTCCAAGAGTGTTTTTGAAGAATCAGCGTATTTAAAGATTAGAGATTTGGGCTTCATCTTTTCAACTCTATTACTTCAACATCAAAAGGGTCAGGTCTGTGTGAGGAACACTGAATCTTCCAGGAATCTTCATTCCATTTACCTGTTCACTAACACTCCAGGAAAACTCAGTCCATTGGGCCTTATTTATTATAAACAAACACTCCCTCATTTTGATCAGATTAAAACTCTAACCAGTTCTACTCTTCTGATGTGCACATACTTATCTAAGGAGGGTAGAGCTACACTCATTCTTCCTGTAGTTCAGGGCTTGTCTACCTAGGCATTATTGAGATTGGGGGCTGGTGGCTTGGCGCCTGTAGCTCAGCAGCTAGGGTGCCAGCCATATACACTGGAGCAGGTGGGTTTGAATCCAACCTAGGCCTGCCAAACGACAATGACAACTGCAACCAAAAAAATAGCCAGGCATTGTGGCGGGTGCCTCTAGTCCCAGCTGAGACTGAGGCAAGAGAATCGCTTAAGCCCAAGAGTTCAAGGTTGCTGTGAGCTGTGATGCCATGGCACTCTACCCAGGGTGACAGCTTGCAACTCTGTCTCAAAAAAAAAAAAAAAAAAAAAAAAAAAAAAGAAAGAAAGGAAGAAAAAAAGATTTGGGGGTGGAAAATTCTTTGTTGTGCGGTTATCCTGTACAATATGGGATGTTTAGCAGTCTCCCTGGCCTCTTCCCTTTAGGTACAGAAGTGTATTGTGCATGGGGGCAAAAGCTTTGATAGAAAACCACCATCCTTCTGGCTGGAAGATTCAGGGGACAGAATACGGGGCAACCACCGCTGCTGGAAAGAACCAAGAGAGGAACCCCCGAAAGGAGAGCAAGGGAGGAGGAGGAATTTCAAGTTCATTGTCCAAATCTCAGGAGGCTTATGAACTGAAAGGCAGTTCCTGCCAACAACAAGCAGCCTTTCACCCACAGACACTGACACAGCAATTGCATCTCATTTTCGTTTGGAATTCTTCCTATCAGACACTACGCCACAGAATATATAGATGTTGCTTTGCCCTTGAAGCCAGACAGACTAGAAAATTGTGGGAGATAGCTGTCTCAGGTGTACTCGGATGGATACCAAATACTATGTTCCTTTCCAGGCCTGAGAATCTCCGGACGCTGTCCAACACGATGTGATCACCAGATGCATCACATGCATCACTGAGCTGCAAAATCCTTTTCTTCCTCATTGCTCTTAGGAGCTCATGCTTGTAACGCTCCACTTCTCTGCTGGTGCTTACAAGCACAGCAACGTCTTTCTCAGAATAGCCTTTTGCAAACAGGGCCTTGCAGGTGTTTGCCACGTAGGTCACTATTTTCTCACGAGTTAAGTCTTCCTCAATTTTTAAGTATCCCTGAATACCGCGAGCCCATTCAGCTTCAAGAAGCATCCTCAGGTACTCAGAAGGGATGTTATCTGGAGGGCTATTTCTAATTGCTTGCATTTCTTCTAGTAGGAAGTTGACAATTGGCTCTGCATTGCGGACCACTCTGGTGAGCTCTTCTTTTGAATTCTGCTCCGAGAGAGGGGGGAGGCCACTCTCATCCAAGTGGCAGGTTTGAAAGTAGTCCAGAAAGATCCAGAGAATTCCTGGGCAAACATTCGTCCTCTGAGTGATGGTTCGTGCCTTCTCATACCAGTCCCCATCTTCTTTGCGGAAATTCTGAGCTTCATCAACGATGATGTGCTGAATATGTTTGAAGTCCTTTTTCATGAAAGTTTTCCGGGTCACTGCCTCGCAGATGTTTTTGTTACTGTAAAAATTAAAATGACACAGTCAGGTTTTCTTTAACTAAAAAATAGGAACTATTAGTCTGTCATGCTCTCTGGACCAGGTCCATTGTCACAGGTCACATTATCACGACGTCTCAAGGAACAAGGTGACTTAGCTGAAAAAAATTAAACCCAGATTACATAACCCTTAGAGACATAAAGCCCACTGCTTACCTGATAAAGTTCCTCAGAGGCTGGTTCTCGCAAATGTAGAGAATTCTATCTGTCCCACAGTGAAACACATTCCTGATCTTCTCCATGATCTTCATGGCCATGATTGTCTTCCCTGAGCCGGGCAAGCCATGGACAAACAATTCTCTGTTCTTGCGCAGGTTTTTAGAGAACAGGGCATACTGTTGGGCTGTGAGTAGATCTAAAACCTCACAACCGAGCTGGTCACTCAGGAGGGACCTGAAGCTGAGGAGGACGATCACCAGGGCCTGCAGCAAGGCTTCTGCTTGCTGGGTGTCCACAAGGGTGTAGGACCTGGGGTAACTTATCAGACAAACTGCACCCTCCATGCTCTCTGTGTTGCTCTCAGCACTCAGGTGGAGGACCTTGGCCATGACACACAGCTTCCCAGTGTAGCCCCCCAGGTTCACCAGCTTCTGCTTCAAGGTAAAGGCTGTGGAGTTGCAGTAGTCCTGCCCCCCTGCCTCCTGCTCCCCGAGAATAGTATAGAGAATGGGGGGGCTGTTCTGTGCTATCAGCAGAGCATCACAGAGGACTCCCTCCTTCTCTTGCAAGTTCAGGTCGACAGCCCAGCTTCTGGAGAAGATCAAAATTCCCTGGGAGAAAGGACGCATCTGCCTGTGTATTAACTCCTCCAGTCCTTCATGCTCTGAGACCAGCTCCTGCCAGAGGGATTCGGGAGTGTATCTCAAATGATCCGATGGCACTGGGTGTGGCAAAATAGACAAGATTTTAAAAATGTATTTGTATTATTTTGTATGAATCACGTTACATTTAAAGGAGAAAGTAAAACCCCCAAGTAATTGTGAAATTTAGGAGAAGTTCCTTCTGGTGCACTTCTCTTTGGCCCACACCCTACGAGTCTGGTGAACTGAATCATGTTGCCCTTCTCTGTATCTCTTGGAGAGTAGAAGGTGTCAACTCCAACAGAATTAATTGAGCCTGAGAAAGCAAAAACCATGTAAACATTTAATTATCCTTTCATCTCAGATTCTTATTGTGAAATATCAAGAAAACTTTCTGATAAGGAAATGACTACAGAGATCTCAGCTAACTAAGAAAACTACGTGGTTGACAATGGGCCTAAACAGCCCTGATATATTAATTATCAGGCCCTTGGTAAATGGTTAGACATACATAGGACAGTTGTCTATTACATTCTGCTATAGATCTCATGTTTAAGGTGTTTGATGCGTGAAGTTAAACAAGCCATTTCTTCTCTCTCCTAGAAATCTAGGTTTCCTTTTCTAAGTAGGACTCCTAGACAAAACTTTGCTAAAATATATTTGGGCAGTGGGGAGTCCAGTTACCAAATACTGTCCATTGTCTTGGATTCTTATTTTGTGCTGTGTGTGAGATACAGAGACTCATCCTCTCCAGCCTCCTCAGGAGAAATTACTTGTGATTTCGCTGTGTTTTTAAATTCTACCAGGTAAACACTTTTAAAAATAAAATAATTTTACAGATAAAATTCCTGCATCTCTGAAAAGCTGACCAAAAGGGGTCAATTATTCCACAGCGCCCCCTCCCTTACCTACACTTGTATTAGGGCAGTGATTTCCAACTCAGCAGAGCATCAGAATAATCGGAGAAGCCTGCTGAAATGCACATGCCCAGGCCTCATCCCTGAAAATTGCATGTCTATACGTTCTTGGTGGGGACCTGGGCATCTGCATGTTTAACTGCCTCCTGCAGTATTTCTGATATTCAGCCATGTTTGCAACCACTAAGCTAGATGATCTCTCAGGGGACCTGAAACTCATCCCCAAGAGGCTTGTGGCATTATCACTTTTCATATTTGGATCTGCAGAGCATAATCTTTTGCATATTTGTTTTTAACCAAATGTATTAAGTCATCGCCCTTCCTGCTAATGTAAAAACTGGCAGTGAGTACCTGGAAACAAACGTTGTTGGAGATCTGCTTTATGTTCCAGACCTTTCTTAGAATACACTGGTCTGCAAAGTGGAGGTCTGTGGGACAGACTCAGCTGAGATTCAAAAGCCTCGGCCAACTCTGAAATTAACTCTGAAAAAAGAAAAATTGACCCCACATGATTTCACCCCTCACATATGGACTAGGCCATTTAAGTCTGTACCTATATTTCACTTAACTGGGTACAATTCAGTCCACAAAGTAAGACATTTCACCCTTCCTTGACTATTTTGAGATTCTCAAAGCCTCACCATTAAAAAGCCCTCCTTTTGAATCTTGAATGGTGTTTCCCTACTCAGTATAACACTTCCTTCTCCATGTTTGAATAGATTTCTCCTCAAGTTGTAGCAAGACTTCAAACACTCTCTTTTTAAATTAGGATCATCATGTGTTTCATCTTCCTGCACAGGCACCTGCACTAACCCCAACTCATGTAAACCTTACCCAACACTGGCTCTTGACCCCCAGAGTTGATCTCATGCTAAACTGAGGCACAAGGTCATTGTTATGATGAGGCTCTAGCAAATTCCAAGCAGAGGATTTTAAAAAAGAAATCCATTTCCAAATATTCCCTTCACTACTCCTTCTGTGGGAAATCACCATTCACAAAATATCTGATTTTGGCTTGTTCTCACCCACAACCTTACCCTATATGAAAAACCCAGAGGTTTAGAGAAAGTAAATCTCACCAGGTGTGAGGAGTTCAAAGTTACAGAGAATGAAGAAGGACATGGTGATACTGAAGAGGCAGAGGATAGGAAGGGAGAAGAAGCTTGCTTCTTCTTACCTGGGTCTGTATCTGTCAACATGTCAACCCATTTCCCTGCTGTCAGCCTGCAGACATTCTTCTCATTCACCATCCATGATTTGGGATCTTCTGAGAACACCACACAACAGAATGGCTCCACTTTAATCACACAGAGATAACCATATAACTCTTCTCTTTTAAACACATTGATGATTCTGGTGCTGTACTCCATCTTTGGTTGGGAAGAGCAAAAGTGGACAAGAGGCAAATTGGAAATTGCTCCTTCTATTACACTTTCCAAAGACTTGAGGTCAACCTTTTCTTTTGAACATCCCAGGACTTTCCTACTATTTTCATCCACTCCAATAAAGAGGTAGCCTCCTCCAGTGTTTGCAAATGCAGAGACATATCGTGGAATTAAGTTTATTATATGTTGTTCAATGTCTGTTGTGTTGAATTGTTCAAACTCTATGGACTGAGACTGAGAAAAAGGCAGAATGTCACCATGTTTTAGACTCTTCATTTGGAAAACTTTGTAGGCAGGATTTGATTCAGAGGTGTTGTGGTGGTCAGCTTTGGAAATTCCACTAAGTGGAGATGTTTCTGTTTCACTAATCAGACTATGTTTTGCATCGTTTTTCTTCTTCTTTAGGAATTGTAATGCCTCTCTTGAATCCATGGGAAGCACGTAGGAGCAAGATGTAGAGTACAGTGAAGAATTCAGGCTGCAGATGTGGGGTTTGACAGAACTATCTTCAGCAAGAGCATCATTGCTCCAAGATTTGACAAAGATGTAGAAACTTCTACCTTGTTGCTTGAACTCAAAAAATGCCGGAAAATACGAAGACTGAATGAGCTCTCTCAATGAGCATGCTAAATCTTTTCCCATCTTCATAGGATACTCATCCTCATTTGCCATTTCCAGCCGAATCACTCCTCCTCCTGAGTTTAATAGAGCACACGCAGCCTGTATAACTTTTGCCTTCTCGTGGTCTCTCTGAGTTTCCTGCAGCTCATTTCTGCTTTGGTCTCCAAGAGTCACTTTTCCTACATTGATGACCAAGTCTGGGCAAGATAATTCCACCACCAGGGAGCGGTGACTCATCTTCATAGTGATCCTACAGAAGAAACTATTGGAACATTTATTTTATTTTTATTAGGAAATTAAGTGTTAAATGCATGCAATTCATTCATTAGAAAATATTTAATCTTTGTCAAATATGTTCTGGGAGAAGACAACAGTGAGTAAAACAGGCAAAGTCCCTTCCCAGCTGTCTCACAAGAAAGGGGGCTAATGATATTAGCATTTACCATCATGTGTGATATGGGCTATCAGAGGGGAAAAATATTTAAGGGGTATCTGAACTAATCTGGAAATGATAGTTGAATAAGATTTCAAGGAGAAAGTAAGCCAAGACCTGTTGGATGCTGTGGAATTGGCCAGGTGAAGTCATCAGCACTGAAGCATGGGAGCAGTGGGGTCACCTGAAGGGGATGTATGCCATGGTATGAAAATATCTCAGCTTAGGACAAATTTCCAATTAATATCAATATAGGCAATGAATAAAAGGAGAAAATAAAAGAATAAAAGAATAAAAGAATAAAAAAGGGGGACTGCAGAGAGGACAAATTGTGAGAATCCTAACAGGTAGGAGAAGAACCAAGAGAATATGGTATTAAGAAGCCCAAACAAGGTTTTAAAGTAGCTAGTACTACTGACAAGTGCAGTTAAGTGATGACTGGAAAGTGTTATTAGGTTAACTGGTGAGCTTGAAAAATGCTTTTCAGAAAAATGAGGAGTAAGCAACAGGAGGCAATATACCAGGGGCTAAAGTCTTATACACTAGGGTCAATGAAGAGAGCTTGAATTGTAGTTGTCATTTAAAAGTTTTATGCTATTAGCCTAGATTTTTCATCTTTCCAATGCTGTTTTCTTGTCTATAAAATGTGATGTGCCTTCCTTCCTTAACTGTTATTGGCTCTGTGCCTGTAATCAAGCAGCTAAGGTGCCAGCCACATACACCACAGCTGGCGGGTTCAAATCCAGCCCAGGCCTCCCAAACAACAATGACAACTACAACCAAAAAATAGCCAGGTGTTGTGGCTGGCGCTTGTAGCCCCAGCTACTTGGGAGGCTGAGACAAGAGAATCGCTTGAGCCCAGGATTTGGAGGTTGCTGTGAGCTGCAATGCCACAGCACTGTACCCAGGGGGACAGCTTGAGGGTCTGTCTGCCAGGAGTTGGAGGTTGCTGTGAGCTGTGATACCACGGCACTCTACTCAGGGTGACAGCTTGAGGCTCTATCTCAAAAAAAAAAAAAAGAGTGTTATTATGAGCATTCATCAAGATAGTTCACACCAAGCATTTAACACTATCCTTTGGTTCACAGATTTTCAGTCTAGGAACCTATAATTGTCCCCATACTGCAATGGGTTAGAGAATGAATGAGAGGCAAGTAAATCACAGTACCAAGTCTTGTTCATACATCAAGCTATGAAAGAAGAGAGAGGTTCAATGATACATAGTTGGAGAAAGAGAATAAGTTGAAGAATTTTTTTTAAGTTGGGAAAGGGATGAAAAAATTTAACACCAAATGGAAGGATCCATGAATTGAAAAATGTAAGATGTATAAGTAAGGTGAGATGACTGATATAATGAAGTACCTGAGAAGAGAGGTAGGGAAGGAACATGATCCAGAATGGGAAAGAAGATCAGGAGGAGGGGAAAATGAAATAAATGATATGGGTGAATTTGGGGGAGAGGAAGTTGAGAGAGGGCCCTTCTGATGCCTTCTCTTTCTCCTTTGAGGAAGGAAATAAGTCATCCCTAGACAGAGTTAGCTGACGCAAAGTCTGAAGGCCAAAAACATTTTAATAGACCAGACACAGTGGCTCAGGCCTGTAATTTTAGTACTCTGGGAGGCTGAGAAAGGTGGATAGCTTGAGCTCATGAGTTTGAGACCAGCCTGAGGTAAAAGTGAGATCCTGTCTCCACTAAAAATAGAAAAAACTGAGGCAAGAGAATTGAGACTAAGAGCTGGAGGTTGCTGTGAACTATGACACCATAACACTGTACCCAGAGCAACAGCTGGAGACTTGGAGACTGTCTCAAACAAACCAAGAAATAAATTTATTTAATAGAGTGGAGATAGTTTGAAACACACATTATAAAGAAAAAGATAGATTTTTTATATGAGAAACAAAGGACTTACATACAATGAAGGGTTAATACTGCAGATTAAAAAAAGAAACCATACAAATCCAAACAATAACCATTAAACAAATAAATCATAAATTTACAAAGCATGATGATGAGCAAGATATCAAAATTTTGAGTGATGTCACCAAAATGGCAGAACAGAAGGTTACCTGCTCATATACCCCCATGACAGCAAGGATTCTATATCTATCGACAGTCAAAAATCTCTCTGTGTAAGAATCAGGATTCAGGTAACAGTTTGTGAAACCCCAGTGGAGGCGAAGATGTAGGGAGGTCGTTTTGAGACTACAGACCAACCAGTTGGTTGGTCTGCCCTTGCAAAGCTTACTTCTGGGTTCAAGCC